CAGGGACAAGAACACAGTGAACAGTTGAATTAAATGTAAGTTTAAGCATGCTCTAGGCCAGCATCATTAGTGGTAAAACATAACTGAAATCAGTCGCTTCCTATAACCATCAATAAGCTTCTGACACCTCTCACCCGGAATTTTGGACCACTCTTCCTTTGCAAACAGCTCCAGGTCTCTCTTATTGGAAGGACACAACACCTTTTCCCAACAGCAATTTTAAGATCTCTCCACAGGTGTTCAATGGGATTTAGATCTGGGCTCATTGCTGGCCACTTCAGAACTCTCCAGCGCTTCTTTGCCATCCATTTCTGAGTGCTTTTTGACGTATGTTTGGGGTCATTGTCCTGCTGGAAGACCCAGGATCTTGGACGCAAACCCAGCTTTCTGACACTGGGCCCCTACAGTGCGACCCAAAATCCTTTGGTAATCCTCAGATTTCATGATGCCTTGCACACAGTCAAGGCACCCAGTGCCAGAGGCAGCAAAACAACCCCAAAACATCATTGAACCTCCACCATATTTTACCGTAGGTACTGTGTTTTGTTCTTTGTAGGCCTCATTCCGTTTTCGGTAAACAGTAGAATGATGTGCTTTACCGAAAAGCTCTATCTTGGTCTCATCTGTCCACAAGACGTTTTCCCAGAAGGCTTTTGGCTTACTCAAGTACATTTTGGCAAACTGTAGTCTTGCTTTTTTATGTCTCTGTGTCAGCAGTGGGGTCCTCCTGGGTCTCCTGCCATAGCGTTTCATTTCATTTAAATGTCGACGGATAGTTCGTGCTGACACTGATGCTCCCTGAGCCTGCAGGACAGCTTGAATGTCTTTGGAACATGTTTGGGGCTGCTTATCCACCATCCGGACTATTCTGCGTTGCAATCTTTCATCAATTTTCCTCATCCGTCCACGACCAGGGAGATTAGCTACAGTGCCATGGGTTGCAAACTTCTTGATAATGTTGCGCACTGTGGACAAAGGCAAATCTAGTTCTCTGGAGATGGACTTGTAACCTTGAGATTGTTGATATTTTGCCACAATTTTGGTTCTCAGGTCCTCAGACAGTTCTCGTCTCCTCTTTTCTGTTGTCCATGCTTAGTGTGGCACAGACAGACACACAATGCAAAGGTTAAGTGAACGTCTCTCCTTTTTATCTGCTTTCAGGTGTGATTTCTATATTGCCCACACCTGTTACTTGCCCCAGGTGAGTTTACAGGAGCATCACATGCTTGTAACATTCTTATTTATCCGCAGTTGTGAAAGGGTGCCAATACTTTTGTCCAGCCCATTTTTGGAGGTTTGTGTGACATTATGTCGAATTTGCTTTCTTTCCTCCCTTTTTTTGTTTTGTCCCAATACACACAAAGGGAATAAACATGTGTATAGCAAAACATGTGTTAATGCAATACGTTTCGTGAGAAATACATGATTTCCTGGAGAAATATCAAGGGTGCCAACAATTTCGGCCATGACTGTATAGTATAAGCCAGGAAGGATTTTTGATAAGTTTAGGGGTTATTTACTTACTAATTTAAGATTCATTGTATTTGGAGATATTTCGATTTTTTTCTGCACACTTAGTGGTACTTGTAATAATCATTCAGCATTCAAACAAATGTACTTTTCTTATACAGGACAAATAACCAGGTTTTCTTTAACTCCTCCCCAGCAGCTGTAAAAAAATAGTGGATACTTCCAGGTATGGAGCAGCAGGTCACTCACACGTGATAGGTCTACTGTTTAGTATTTGGCCAAAAGCTGTTCCGTGGGATTGGGGAGACACTCTTTAGCCCTGTGTAAGCTCAGAGTAGAATGATTAGAGCTTACCTAGGGGTTACATTCCTCTCTGGTGACAGAATGGAGCAGCAGGGGAGTAAGAGGAAAGGATGTGTTGCTAGGTACAGTTGTGACCAAAATTATTCAACCCCCACTGAAATTGAGTGTTTTGGCCAGTTTGACATTGCTTTTGATCATTCAGTCATCTTGCTTACATTTACATTAAAGAGGCACTGTGTAGGTCAGACAAATATAACATAACAGTTATAATGAAATAACCACAAATGTCTTTTCTGTGCTCACAGCATTATCAGTTTATTCAACCCCCAAGTGACATTCAATCTTAGTACTTAGTACAGCATCCTTTTTACAGTGTTACACAGCTTTTAAACGTGAAGCATAGCTTGACACAAGTGTCTTGCAGCGATCTACGGTATCTTCGCCCATTCTTCATGGGCAAAGGCCTCCAGTTCAGTTTGTTTCTTAGGCTTGCGCACTGCAACTCAGCTTTTCTTTAAGTCCCACCAGAGGTTCTCAATCGGATTTAAGTCTGGTGACTGCGATGGCCACTCCAAAATGTTCCAGCCTTTCCTCTGCAACCATGCTCTAGTGGACTTGGAGGTATGCTTGGGATCATTGTCCTGTTTGAAAGGTCCAACGTCTCCCAAGCCTCAGGTGTGTGACGGACTGCATCACGTTTCCATCCAATATCTCCTGGTACTGAAGAGAATTCATGGTACCTTGCACACGCTGAAGCTTCCCTGTACCTGCAGAAGCAAAACAGCCCCAAAGCATGATTGACCCTCCACCATGCTTCACAGTAGGCAAGGTGTTCTTTTCATCATAGGCCTTGTTCTTCCTCCTCCAAACATAGCGTTGATCCATGGGCCCAAAACAGTTCTAATTTTGTTTCATCAGTCCACAGAACACTATCCCACAACTTTTGTGGTTTGTCCCACATGGCTTTTGGCATACTGCAGCAAGTCGACTCTTCTTATTCTTTGGAGACAGCAAGGGGGTACGCCTGGGAGTTCTGGCACGGAGGCCTTCATTACGCAGTGTGCGTCTTATTGTCTGGGGCTGAAACTTCTGTACCCACATCTGACAAATCTTTTCTCAGTTCCTCAGCAGTCACACGGGGACTTCTCTCCACTCTACGCTTCAGGTAGCGCACAGCAGTCGAAGTCAGCATCTTCTTTCTGCCACGACCAGGTAGCGTTTCAACAGTGCCCTTTGCCTTGAATTTGCGAATGATGCTTCCTAAGGTGTCTCTTGGTATGTTTAACATCTTTGCAATCTTCTTATAGCCATTGCCCTTCCTGTGAAGAGAAATCACCTCTTCTCTTTGTCTTCCTGGACCATTCTCTTGCCTTCACCATGTTTGTAACCACACCAGTAAATGTCTAGAAGGAGCTGAGTATCACAGTCATTTTAAAGCTGCCTAAATGGTGCTTATTATGCTTGATTGCTGCTCGGTGACATCCACAGGTGTTTTCAATACCTGATGGAAAGCACCTGTATGAACCTCTGTTCTTCAGAGTGGTAGTCTTTAAGGGGTTGAATAATTGTGGCAATGAAGAAACCACATAAGAACCATTTACTACTGTATTACATAAACAATTGATGTCATTTTAGTTGCATTTGGGTAGTTACAACGTCCTTGTAGGATTTGATTCTGAATACAATTCCAAATGTACACTATAGTCCCTAAACCCCTTTACAGCATTGGGGGTTGAATAATTTTGGTCACAACTGTAGCTGAACATTAAAGTGAAAGTATAGGCTACTCACAGCTGTCAAACTGGTGGCCCCTCCAGCTGTTGCCAACTACAAGTCCTTGAGGCATTGCAAGATTGACAGTTACAAGCATGACTCCCAAAGGTAGAGGCATGATGGGACTTGTAGTTTCTTAACAGCTGGAGGGCTGCCAGTTTTCACACCCCTGGGCTAAATATAAGTCTTAATAAAACATTGCCAGTCCTCTTCCTACCTATGCTGTTTATTAAAATACAGAAGTGTGAATACCTTTTCTATAATTTGCTTTGGTGTGGGTTTTGTGATCTAGAAGCAGCAGCTCACCTGTCTCAGGAAGCAGTTGACTATGGGGGTGAATTCCCAGAGCCTTGACTTCACCTGTTATTGCCCCTTCATTGTTGACTTCCCTCTTCTCCCCTGCAGCAACCACCCAGTGACACAGGGGAGCCACTGCTTCTGGGTTACATAAAAGCACTGTCAGGACCTGGTTCACCTGCTGTGGCACTGTGGTTCCCTGGGGCGGAGGGTTGTATTTCCAGTGTCCATCAGCGGGTGTCTCCCAGCAGATCTCAGTAATCAGTTTTCACCTGATGCTGGTTGCTGGGGATGGTATTTAAGTCCTCACCTTTTAGTGCCTTGTTGCTTCAGTGTTTTTGCTTGCTGCTCCCAGACCCTGTTGCCATTTAACCAGTTTCCTTCTTCCAGCCCTGTATGTTGTACCCTTGTATCCTGCTACCGTTGTACCTGCTCTCCTTTTGTTCCTGACCCCAGTTTTGGTTCCCCCTTTCCCCATCTGCTCCCTGCACCTCCAGCCAGATATTCCTGCTTTTCTGTGTTCCTCATGTTGTATATTGGTGTACATAGTTCATTGTTAGGTTTTCTGTTTATCATGTATTTTTGTCACTGGATTTTTGTTCACATTATTTTTTATGTTTGCTGATGGATTTGTTTTCACTGTAAATAAATAAATATATTCTGTTCTCAGTTTCCAAGTGTAGCCTCACAGTATAGTCATTCCTGATGCTGGTTTCAGACACGTATCGAATAGGATTAAAGAAAATGTATTTACACTGCTCTCTTGTATAAATAGAAAGCAGCATAGGTAGGTAACATTTTTAACAAAATATATTTAGCCCATGCTTTCACTTTAAAGCTAAGGTTCAGTCTGCTTATGTTTGCCTCCATCTGGTTCTTCCCTCACCCCCTCATCAATATGCTAAAGAAGTGTTAAAATAAAACCTTTCTGTTTTATTACATACTGTACATAATTTTGAAATCAGTGGTCTCTTCAGTGGGTTTCTGTATTTCTTTGTGTGTGTGTGTGTGTGTGTGTGTGTGTATATATATATATATATATATATATAGTATATACACTATATTGCCAAAAGTATTGGAACACCCTTCAAAACCATTGGATTCAGGTGTTCCAATCACCTCCATGGCCACAAGTGTATAAAATCAAGCGCCTAGGCATGCAGGCTGCTTCTACAAACATTTGTGAAAGAATGGGTCACTCTCAGTAGCTCAGTGAATTCAAGCGTGGTACCGTGATAGATTGTCACCTGTGCAGTGAGTCCATCTGTGAAATTTCCTTGCTACTAAATATTCCACAGTCATCTGTTAGTGGTATTATAACAAAGTGGAAGCAACTGGGAATAACAGCAACTCAACCATGAAGTGGTAGGCCACATAAAATGACAGAGTGGGATCAGCGCATGCTGACGCGCACAGTGCGCATAAGTCACCAACTGTCTACAGAGTCAATAGCTAAAGACCTCCAAACTTCACGTGGCCTTCAGGTTAGTACAACAACAGTACATAGAGAGTTTCATGGAATGGGTTTCCATGGCCGAGGAGCTGCATGGAAGCCTTACATCACCAAGTGTAATGCAAAGTGTGTGATGAAATGGTGTAAAGCACACCGCCACTGGACTCTAGAGCAGTGGAAATGTGTTCTCTGGAGTGATGAATCACGCTTCTCTGTCTGGAAATCCGATGGCCATGTCTTGGTTGGCGGTTGCCAGGAGAACGGTACTTGACTGACTGCATTGTGCCAAGTGTAAAGTTTGGTGGAGGGGGGGTGGGGTATGGTGTGGGGTTGTTCTTCAGGGGTTAGGCTTGGCCACTTAAGGAGTCATCATACCAAGACATTTTGGACAATTTCATGCTCCCAACTTTGTGTGGGGATGGCCCCTTCCTGTTTCAACATGACTGCACATCAGTGCACAAAGCAAGGTCCATAAAGACATGGATGAGTGAGTTTGTGGTGGAGGAACTTGACTGACCTCATTGGTACCATTTGTATGAAAATAAAAAATATGCAAAAATATGTGTGCACAAGGTGTCAATGAATTAAAGTGTTTGTTCACCAATGCCAGAAGTCTGCCGAGCAAAGTAGGTGAGTTGGAAGCTTTGGTGCATGAACAGAACTATGATTTAATTGGTATTTATGAATCTTGGCTTCATTCTTCACATGACTGGGCCATTAATATTCCTGGTTATGTTCTCTTTCAGAGAGACAAGGTAAATAGGAAAGGTGGTGGTGTCTGTCTCTATGTGAGAAGTGATCTCAGAGCGAGTGTGAAAGAGGACCTAGCTGATGGAGAATGTGATGAGGCTGAAGCATTATGAGTGGAACTGCACATGGAGGTGCCTACTACAAAGGTAATTATTGGAGTTTGTTATAGGCCTCCCAGTGCTAATGAGGAGGTGGAGACTCAGCTCCTTGCACAGATCGAATGGGCTGCCAGGGCTGGGACAGTGATATTAATGGGGGATTTTAACTACCCGGAAACTGACTGGAGTAATGGCACTGCAGGAACAGTTAAAGGCAAAAAAATTCTAAACCTACTACAGGACAATTTTATGGTACAGTTCATAGAGGCTCCAACTAGGAATGATGCTCTGCTGGACCTGGTAATCTCAAACCATGCAGAGATTATTACAAATGTCCATATAAAAGAACATCTGGGTAGCAGTGACCATAACATGATTTCATTTATTGTTAGCTGTAAACAGCAAGCACATAGGGGAAAAATAAAAATGCTCAATTTCAAGAGAGGTAATTTTCCAAGGCTGAGAGCTGCTCTCCAAGACTTAGACTGGGAGGAATATTGGCATCAATGAACACAACACAGAAATGGGAGTTCTTCAAAAAGACTCTATGTGAACACACTGCAAAATATATTCCCATGGGCAACAAGTTTAAAAGGCTAAAAATCAAACCTATGTGGCTTACAGCCAAAGTTAGAAAAGCTATAGATAAAAAAAGAGATTTTAATAAATTTAAAATGAAGGAATGTTATCATCGTTTAAACATTACAAATATAACAGAATATGCAAAAAGCAAATAAAGGCTGCAAAAATTTTAAACGAATGACAGATTGCAAAAAATAGCAGGACCAACTCCAAAAATTTTTCAAATATATTAATTGTAAAAAGATCCGGTCTGAACATATCTGCCCTTTACAAAATAATCTAGAGCGGGTGACTGGGGACAAAGAGAAGGCAAATTTATTAAATACCTTCTTCAGCTCTGTGTATACAAAGGAACATGGGGGAGCTCTTGTCCATAATGGGCATGGTATTGACACAACCCTAAATGATCCACATTGGCTAACAAATTATATGATCCAAAAATATTTAGACAGTATAAAGGTGAATAAAGCACCTGGACTGATGGCATACACCCACGGGTCCTTAAAGAATTGAGCTTTGTCATTTCAAAGCCATTGTTTCTAATTTTTAGGGACTCTTTAATGACTGGCATAGTACCACTGGATTGGCATAAGGCCAATGTGGTGCCAATATTTAAAAAGGGGTCAAAATCTTTTCCAAGTAATTAAAGACCTGCTAGTTCAACTTCTACAGTTGGGAAGATACGGGAGAGTTTTCTTGCTGGAAAAAAATATTTTAAGCAACAGACAGCATGGATTCATGAAAGACAGAAGTTGTCAAACAAATCTGATTTCTTTTTAAGAAGAGGTGAGCAAAACCTTGGACAGAGGGGCTGTGGACGTGGTATACTTGGATTTTGCAAAAGCGTTTGACACAGTTCCCCACACATGGCTAATGTGTAAGGTAAAGTCTACAGGTTTGGAAAAATCTGTATGTAAATGGATAGAAAACTGTCTAAACGATTGTGTTCAGAGAGTAGTAGTTAATGATTCATACTCTGAATGGTCTAGGGTTGTCAGTGGTGTACCCCAAGGTTCAGTGTTGGGACCCTTACTTTTTAATATATGTATAAACGATATAGGGTCTGGGATTAAAAATACCATTTCAGTCTTACAGGATGTCTCCAATGTACAAGCTGACCTCAATGCACTGTTTACTAGGGGGGTACAACTGGGGTAATCAATGGTGGAGAAGGATCTGGCAGTTCTGGTAGATCACAAGCTTAACAATGCCAAGCTGTGGTTTCTAAAGCAAGAAAAATCCTCTCTTGTATTAAAAGAAGTATAGACTCCAGAGAGAGAGATATCATATTGCCTCTGTACAAATCATTAGTTACACCTCATCTGGAATATGTAGTTCAGTTTTGGGCACCAATTCACAAAAAGAAAATTGGGGAACTGGAGAAATTACAGAGAAGGGCAACCAAACTGATAAGAGGCATGGAGGAGCTCAGCTATGAGGAAAGATTAGAGGAACTGAATTTATTCTCTCTTGAGAAGAGGAGATTAAGGGGGGATATGATCAACATGTATAAATACAGTTGCAAGAAAAAGTATGTGAACCCCTTGGGATTACGTGGAGTTTTGCATGAATTGGGCATAAAATGTGCTCTGAACGTCATCTAAGTCACAACAATAGAAGAACACAGTCTGCTGAACATAATACTACACAAACATTAGATGTTGCCATGGTTTAACTGCACATAACATGTAAACATTCACAGTGCAGGGAGGAAAAAGTATGTGAACCTTTGGACTTAATAACTGGTTGAGCCTCCTTTGGCAGCAATAACCTCAACCAAACGTTTCCTGTGGTTGCAGATCCGACCTGCACAATGATCTGGAGTCATTTTGGACCACTCCTCTTCACAAAACTGTTTCAGTGTAGCAATATTCTTGGGATGTCTGGTGTGAATCGCTCTCTTAAGGTCATGCCACAGCATTTCAATCGGGTTGAGGTCAGGACTCTGACTGGGCCACTCCAGAAGGCGTATTCTGTGCTGTTGCAGCCATTGTTTTGTTGAATGACTTGTATGCTTTGGGTCATTGTCCTGTTGCATCACCCATCCTCTGCGGAGCTTCAGTTGGCGGACAGATGGTCGTACGTTTTCCTGCAAAATGTCTTGATAAACTCTGGAATTCATTTTCCCATCAATGACAACAATCCGTCCAGGCCCTGAGGCAGCAAAGCAGCCCCAAACCATGATGCTCCCTCCGCCATGTTTCACAGTGGGGATGAGGTTTTGATGTTGGTGTGCTGTGCCTTTTTTCTCCACACATAGTGTTGTGTGTTCTTCCCAAACAACTCAATCTTGGTTTCATCTGTCCACAGTATATTCTGCCAGTAGTGCTGTGGAACATCCAGGTGCTCTTTTGTACTTCAAACGTGCTGCAATATTCTTTTTGGACAGCAATGGCTTCCTCCGTGGTGTCCTCCCATGTACTCCATTCTTGTTTAATGTTTTCCTTATTGTAGATGTGTCAACAAAAATGTTAGCATGTGCCAGAGATTTCTGTAGGTCTTTAGCTGACACTCTGGGATTCTTCTTTACCTCATGCAGCATTCTGCGCTGTGCTCTTGCAGTCATTTTTACAGGACGACCACGCCTAGGGAGAGTAGCAACAGTGCTAAACTTTCTCCATTTGTAGACAGTCTGTCTTACCATGGACACATTAACATCAAGGCTTTTGGAGATACTTTTGTAACCCTTTCCAGCTTCATGCAAGTCAACAATTCTTGATCGTAGGTCTTCTGAGAGCTCTTTTCTGCGAGGCATGGTTCACATCAGACAGTGCTTCTTGAAACCAGTAAACCCAAAACAGGTGTGTGTTTTTTTAAGGGCAGGACAGCTGTCAGCAACACATCCAATATCATCACACTGATTGGAGTCAAGGTTGGCTCACTCCTGGCTCCAATTAGCTCTGGGAGAAGTCATTAAGCTAGGGCCTCACATACTTTTTCCTCCCTGCACTGTGAATGTTTACATGTTATGTGGAATAAAACCATGGCAACATCTAATGTTTGTGTAGTATTATGTTCAGCAGACTGTATTCTTCTATTGTGGTGACTTAGATGACGTTCAGAGCACATTTTATGCCCAATTCATGCAAAACTCCACGTAATCCCAAGGGGTTCACATACTTTTTCTTGCAACTGTACATCAGTGGTTCATATAGTGAACTCTATGTAGAGTTATTCACCCTGAGGTCATCACAGAGGACAAGGGGGCACTCTTTACATCTGGAGGAAAAGAAATTTAATCTTCAAACACGGAAAGGTTTCTTCACAGTTAGAGCTGTGAAAATATGGACTAGACTCCCTCAAGAGTTGATTTTGGCCAGCTCAGTGGATTGCTTTAAAAAAAGGCCTGGATTATTTCTTGGATATACAGAATATAACTGGTTACTAACATTTATAGGTAAAGTTGATCCAGGGAATATCCAATTGTCTCTTGGGGGATCAGGAAGGATTTTTTTCTCCTGCAGGAGCAAATTGGATCATGCTTTGTTGGGTTTTTTTGCCTACCTCCGGATCAGCCGTGGGTGTAGGATTATAACTTTTTTTTTTTTAATGGTCGAACTGTGTTATGATTCGCCAGGTGGTGCCCCTGGCTGCCCACTTGATAGACCTACCCAAAGCATGGAGTCTAAGTCCCGGTCTGTGCTTTCACCAGGGCCCCTGATGGTGGGGATGGACTTGAAACAGACCGGGACCAGGTCACGACCTCCGAGCAGGCCCACCAGTGGCAGGGGGAACCTCC